TCAGCACGGGGCCAGGGGCCAGCTGGGAGCACGGCTGCCAGGAGCACAGATCTGAGTTGCAGACCTCCAGCACAACCCAGATCTGATCCCCCAGGAGTGGGATCCCCGGGGCAGAGGGATGGCAGAGGCTGTCCACCTTAGGTTGAAACTAAACCCCTGTGACAACGCCACCTCCTTGGGCAGCCCCTGTGCAACCCGCAGTGCTGCTCCCCCATCCCACACCACCACTGCAAACAATATCCCCACACTTTTTTGTCTGCAAGTGCCTTGTCTGGGATGGGGACCATGGGTGCCACCCTGCCTGGCTGCTCTGTCTCCTCCCTTTCAAACTGCCCCTTAAATAGCCACAGGCTTGGCAAGGCTTTTTTTGGTCACTGGCAGCTGCATCAAGGGTGGGACACGCTGCTGACGCCTGCTCCTTGCAGATTTGTGGAGTGTGATCACATCCCCCTTCATCCCCAAGTACCTCTCAGCCCCGCGCTGTGCCACCCTGCACGGGCTCATCTACCTTATTGGGGACAACACCAAGAAGGTCTATGTGTACAACCCGGAGGCCAACATCTGGCAGAAGGTAGCATGATATGGGGCTGGGCGCAATCACTCTCCTGGGGAGGTGGGGCAGCTGTTCTCTCCATGCCAGCACCCCAAAACTATGCCCTTGCACTCCCCCCATCAGGTGCCAGCACTCCATCTCCCTCCTGCTTGCCCATCCCTTGGCTCTGTTGACCACTGCAGAGCTGAAAATGTCCCAAGCTTTCCTTCCCCGGTCCCCCGTCACACCTGCACTAGGAGCATGGCTTTTGCACCGAAGCCCACAGGACCCACCTTTTCCAGCACCACCCTCTTGCAGGGTGTCCTGTCTGTCCCCTCCACCCTCCAGACCCCCTGCTCCCCACAGCACCCCCAGTCTTTCCTCCGTACACGCACGACATGGGGATGCTGCTAAAAGCAATACATGGCCCCAGGGGCCCCCAGACCTCCCAGAGAGGACCAGGTGGGGAGGAAACACTGGGTGGGTCAATGTCCTCTGCGATGGGAGTGAGAGGTCCCTGGGGGGGGTCGCTGTGTATCTCATCCTGCCCCTCATACAGGTGCAGCTCCTGCACACGCTCCATGAGAACGGTGGGATGGTGCCACTGGGCGACCGGCTCTTCGTCACCGGTGGCCACTGGAAGGGCATGGACGGGGACTACCGTGTGGAGATGGAGGTATATGACTGTGCCAAGGACCTCTGGACGCGGGAGGGCTCCCTGCCCTGCCTCTGGCTCTTCCACAGCTCCTCCTCCATCTTCATGGACACCTCCAAGTGGACGGAGGCTTTCCAGGGTGACCATGGGTGGTAGGAGATCCCACAGCATCGCCTGTCACCCCGCGCAGCTGCCATCCCCCTTGCCTCTCTCCTCGCTGCCAGTTCAGCTCTGCAGGGGGGAGCTGGAAACCCCACTGCCAGGCTAGTGGGCATCGGGAGCATGTTCCCCCCACCCCTGCGAGGAAAAGGCTTTTCCTTAAACACGCTTTGGATAACTCTCTCAGTTTGTTGGATTCGTTTGTTCTGAAGGACTGCCTTTTCCCCCTTCCAAAGCCCTGAAGATTTTAGGGCATTTTGAGGCCTCACAAGGTGTAGCCCATCCCATCAGAGACTGTCATTGCTGCCTGGTGGCCACGGCCTCCTGCCCTGTCACATTGAAATCCAGCAAGGGAAAACATGAGGAAGACCAGGGGAATCTCCTGACACCCAAAGCTCTCCAGCACCTCACTGGCCCAGATGGAAGGATCAAACCCATTCCAGGGCCCCGTGGAGCAGAATGACAGGAGATAAACACGCTTTTTGGTGGCACAGGGGCCTGTGGCAGGGTGCTTCATCCTTGGTTTCTCTCCCAGGGTGCACAGCATGTGCCTCTGGGAAGTGACCTGAGGGTCCTGGTGAAGCAGCCAGCACCTTGGTGGCTCCTGGTGCTGGGACAGAGCCCAGTGGTACCTCCTGCCCCATCCCGTCTCTGCTGGTACCCCAGGTGGTGGCAGAGGACACCTTGGGACGGGGCGAGCACAATGCAACGCTTCCCCGATGGCCAGTCCCACCACCAGCACTGGGACGTTGTAGCTCTACTAGCGTCGTGCGATGGTTAATCCGTTCACCATTAGGTTTCTCCTTATTTTGGAAGCTCTAGACGAGCAGGCCGAGGAGCAACGGGGGTCGTGGGGGAGCCCCCCGGGACTGGGAGGGTGTCGCGGGGTGTTACCCA